CCTCTACTGGAGGAAATTAGGCAATTTTCTCCTTCCAATTTCAAAGCAGATCTTTCTCCCCACTTGACCACAGTAGGAGGAGAGGGGAAGAACGCTTGAAAGTTGCAGGGTTCCTCTAATGACTACTAACACTCATTGTTGCTGCCATGAAAACATAAAGCCACCTTTCTCGTCACTTTCTCACCCTTGCATGATCAACCATCTCCCACTATCTGTTAAGAGAGCATGTTGATCTAGTTCTTTAGATATCTTTCAATGACTCTTTCTCAGCCTTTAATGACAGTAAACAAACTGAGCAGTCTAGAGTCGTGGGAGGGGAATGGACTGAGTTTCCAGAGAAAAAAGGTTATGTCCCATAAGAATTACAGGATAGAATGCAAAGGGCAGAAAGGACATAATCAATAAAGGCATCCCAATCATGGATGCCATAACTCAGAGCTAAATATCAGGAAGTGTATTATAATTCCACCTCCCTACAGAATTGCTGTGCATGAGGATTTTATATTCTCTCTGACCCCAGGTCACAGGGAGTTACTCAGACTCCACACGGAAATGGAAAGCTGGATAGTACATGGGAATGGCAAAACAAAATGTTCTCTCTCTCATTCAGTTTCCAGGAATGCTGAAATTTGGTGAGGAGCAGTTATTCCCCGAAGAAGTTTGCCACAATCACAGTGGAGGGATTGTCCAAAGGTGCTAATGTTCAAGAGATGTGGTTACTCATCATATGTCTGGGCAAAGAGGGAGTAAGTTAATAAGTATAAGAAAAGATCATTCTGATTTTCTAGCTGACTGAATACCTCACCAATTTAAAACAATAAAGATAATCACCATACTGTTGTCTGTGGTTTTTGTTGTAGTTGTTGTTGTTTGCTTAATCCCTTCACCTTTTTCTTTTTTTAAACATTTTTTTTAATTTTTTATCTTCACCTGAGGACATTTTTCTATTTTTTGTTCAGGTAGAGTGGGAGGGGGAGAGAGGAAGAGAGAGAGAAACATCGATGTGAAAGGGACACATCGAGTGGCCACCACCCACACGACCAACCAGGGCCAGGGACAAACCGCAACCGAGGTACATGCCCTTAGCGGGAACCAAACCCGGGTCTCTCGGGACCGCAGGCCGACGCTCTAACCGCTGAGCCAAACCGGCCAGGGCCCTTCACCTTTTTCACCAGCCCCACAGTGGAGAGGTAGAAGAGGGTATAGGGGGAATAAATGGTGGTGGAAGGAAACTTGACTTGGGGTGGTGAACATATAATACTATATACAGATGATGTATTATAGAATTATACACCTGAAACCTGTAGGATTTTATTAAGCAATGTCACCCCAATAAATTCAATAAAAATAAAATAAAACAATAAAGAGGTGAATATCCTGTGCTTAGATTTACATCTCTGTCTTGGTTTTTGTAAATTCTAGGCTTCCTGAGGTAACTGCTTTATTAATGAGATTTTCATCTCTAGCTACATGAGGTAAGTATTCCTTTTGAGGATGATACATGTCTCCTGGATTTGTCTGGCGTCATGTAACATGGATAAAAACTTCTCAGTGTTAAAATGATGCTGTGGGACAAAATTCTGATAGATCTCTTTACTGTCAAATAGTATTGAAAACATTAGACCCATTTGGGCTTTGCAATAAAATATTGGTTCACATTCACAAGCAACTTAATTATAAGACAGTCTTTTTACTGTTTTCAGTTTTACTATTATCTACTCAAAATATGCAGTTGACTCTTGACAATACAGGTTTGAACTGTGTTAGTCCACTTATACATGGATTTTTTTCAACAAATGCCTGTACTGTTTTTGAACAGTGGTTGGGATTCCGTGAATGTGGAGGGCCAACTGTATATATGTATCTATGCTATTTTATTTGGGGATTTGAGCATCCTCCGATTTTGGTATCTGTGGAGGGGGGTCCTCTAACCAAATGAATGTAGATACTGAGGGACTACGTAAACTTTGGAGGAGTCAAACGTTATACACAAATTTTCTACTGTATAAGGGCTCAGGGCTTCTAACCCCTGCGTTGTTCAAGGGTCAACTATAATTATCATTCTCCTGAGATGTATGCATAATTTTTAAAAAGTTACTACTATGAGTCCAAGGGAAAGAACAACTTTCAAGTCATTAACCCAAAACAATCATTAAATAACTCCAATAACTTGTCAATTTTCATTTTTATATGGCTTGCCAAAAGGGAGCATGCTTTAAAGTGCAGCATGGTCATGGTTCTTCTTCAGACTCATTATGGTCACAACCAGAACCAAACTTATTCAAATGCAGCCAGAGCAGAAAACCAGTAGATACATGGAATGATTATGAGGATGTCCCTTCTCCTCACTCTGGTTACTATTGAAATTCCACCATTGCTCTCCTGCATTGTAGCTCAAGGTTCTCAAGCCAAGTGGAAGGCACATTTTCCTTGGAGAGAATTTCCACATTAGCATTAATGATGAATGTGAACACAATTTTTACATACTACTGGACATTGGTAGAGGTAGCACTTTCCAGAGAGAAGGATGTAGGGGTGGGAGTGGGAGTTTACCAACCACAGTTCTGGCTGTTTCCATCTTTCGGAGTCCATAACCTGCACACCAGTGAACATGGGAAAGACTACTGAAAACAGGAGCTACAAAAATCTTTCTTTTTTTTTTTTTTTTAATCCTCACCTGAGGACATTTTTCCATTTTTTGTTCAGGTAGAGCAGGAGGGAGAGAGAGGAAGAGAGAGAGAGAGAGAAACATCGACGTGAAGGGACACATCGAGTGGCTGCCACCCACACGACCAACCAGGGCCGGGGACAAACTGCAACCGCGGTACATGCCCCTAGCGGGAACCGAACCCGGGTCTCTCGGGACCGCAGGCTGACGCTCTAACCGCTGAGCCAAACCGGCCAGGGCCAAAAATCTTTCTTATTCTAATGTCAGAGGCAGAATTCTTGAACAGCCTGGGGATGTTCTGAATACAAGTGTGCTTTAGAATTTCAGGAAGTTTTAGGGAGTCTTTGTGAGGCCAGGGAAAAAAATGAGGGATACACTCAGTATTTAGTTTCAACCAGATTAAATCATTCACAAAGATAAAATGAGATATTTTAGTGGCTCCAACAGTGCCTGACAACTAAAAATTCAATTCAGTCATTTAACAAAAGACTAGCCAAAAAGATTAATGAGAAGAATGTATTGAGAAAGGTAGAATTGAACATTTTCACTTATTACTCTAGAAGATGGAGATTTTAAGTCAAATGACTTTCACGCAATGAATAAAAGAGAAAATAATGAAAGCAACCAGGTAAGCAACCTCAGAAAACAGCTGAGAGGGCCTTGAAAAGTAGGACAGCGCCATTTATTGAGCCCATCGCTGGCCCCTTAAAAGGGCCTCATGTACTTCTTTGTGGTGGTCCCTTCCCTGGCCTTGTCTTCACCTATTTTCTCCTTTTACTAGAATCAACCATCTACAGATAAGTTCCTGGTCTTGCTGTCTTTTTACCTCCCCTAGGTATCATACAATATATTGCCCTAAAGGAGAATTTGCCATAATGTACTGCTGATAGTACTGTTTTGTTGATAGGCCATTTTACTTAACATACTTACTACTAATTCCTAGTTCCTAAAACTGTGATTTCGTATATACAAATTTTCATGTCCCGGTCAGAACAGATGAATCTTACTATTATATTACATTGCTCTACCTTGCAGGTGTTCTTTATTTTATGACATATGGAAACTTATTGGAAGGATATGTATAGGTATATCAAAACATTGTAAAATAAGTCATTTTACATTAACTAAGAAAGCTTTTTATTAAAAGAGCCACTTATACAAATGAAGGTTTTTTTGGTATTTCTTATACCTAACTCAGCAATTTCATTAGTCTTCACTAATTTTCACTTCTCAAGAACTCTTCAAGCAAAACAAAATCTGTGTTATTTGATTTACAAAACAGCGTTCTTGGTTTCCAGGCTACTAATTTGGGGATTGCTGGTGGTATTTTGAAACACCATAAGAACTAGTTAGTCATATAAAATCAGTTTCAATACAACACAATGGAAGCAAATTCAACTAAGGCATGAATCATTTCCTCTTCCATACAAAATGACATCTGAATGAATCAATTAAAGAATTCTCAAGGACAAGGGACATGTTTAGAATATTTTACTACCTCCAAATCTTGCATACTATCTTCTTTTCTTAATTAAAGTCCATTAGAGTTTAAGTGTCAAATGAAACCTATGAGGTGTAGGACTAAATGTCTGAACAATCATGCACTCACAAATTTTTTTAAGAAAGTCATTATTGGTTGAGATATGGTTCTCTGAACTGTATTCTAGATCTCCAAGTAAGATATTTTTCATGAAGTTCAATACTATAATAATGGTCTTTCAGAAGGCATCATAGGCCTGGCAGAGTCCATTCTAAAGTTGATAATTCTAATTGATAGAGATAAATGGGAATGGAGTAAACAGTGGGGGTGGGAAACAAGGGAGGGGAAGGGATTTACAAAGCAGAAAGCACATATCAAAGTAATATTAAAACTTTCCCAAAGGACTTTTGTATTACTTGAACTTTACTATGAGACAAGAAAAATCACACACGGATAGTATGTTCTTGGGAGATTTTTGATAAATTATTAAATAAAAAAGAAAACTCGTTTCTTGTAAATGAGTCCTTGTCATTTTAAATCTTTAATTCTTTCAGAAAATATTATTTACTAGCAATGCTTTTATTCTATTTCCTGATTTTATGATTCATAGTTCAGTAAAACAAAAATCGTATTACTATGAAAGGACCTGAGGGCTGGTTTTCTTCATTATGTGTTCTATGTATTTGATCCATTCTTTTTTGACAAGCAGTATGACGGTTTTTGCATCTATATTCCTACTCCCTATCTTTTTTCATACTCTCTGTATTAAAAAGTATTAAATATGGCAATAATATTACATAATCACGTCATTTTATGGTATAATTCCCTTCTTTTAAGACGATAAATTCCTACCTTTGAAGAAAATCTGAAGTTCTTCTTCCTTTTAATATTTAAAAACCAAGTCTTCTCAGTATTGCTCTGTGGGTTGAGAGGGGAGAAGGAACTGTAAACAAGACATTTATCATTAATCACAGCAGATATATTAACTCCAAGTGACTCCTGATGGGAATCACAATTATAGGGGGACCCCTGTAAGGAAAGACAAATTATGAATAGATTTGGCAAAACACATCACTGCTGGTTTCAATCAAAAGTAACAGCAGTGAGGTAACTAAAATTTTGGTGGCTATCCCTTTACTGGATCCCTCCCAAAGAGTGATGTCTGTTTTCCTCTTTTCAGTTTAAGGGAATAGAAGGGTTTTTGTAATGCATTTTTACAGTTGTGGCTAAAATACTTCCTTGCTGTGGGGTGCTTATTATTATTATTATTTAAATTTTTTGTTTAGTAGAGTAGAAATTCTTTTGACTGTTTTTGAAAGGCCTCAAGTTTTCAATGAGAGTCCTAAGTAGATGATGGGAATAGCCAAGAGCTGAGCAGCCCCACCTGAGCTAGGACAAAGGCTCAGCTATGGACAGCTCCAGAGCTTGGTCCTCTCCAAATCTCCCCTCCTCAGTCTAAATGTTTCCTTTGCAAATATCCCAGCTGAGAATTATCCAGAAAAGGACAGCACGGACAGGGAGTAGTACAATCACAGCTGAGCACATTAGATTTCATTTTTTTTAGACAACCAACTCAGTGACATCACAGTGTTCTAAAGGAGGGTTTGTGGCTTTTTGGACTTTGGATTTTTGAAAACAGAAGTCATACTATCAACCTCTGAAAAACCCTTCAGAGACGAGAAATAAGTGTCAATTCAGGAACTCCTGGCTGCACTCAAATATGAAGACAACTAAGAATCTCAAATGACTGCATTAATAAAATTAAAAGATGTGTAATCAGCTGGGATGATTTAGTTTATGCATGCATTATAGAGTATTTTCTGAATTAAAGCCCACTTTAAAAGTTAATTTTTTTTTTAATCATCACCCGAGGACATTCTTTCTATTTTTGTTCAGATGGAGTGGAAGGGAGAAAGTGGGAGAGAGGCAAAGAAAGAGAAACATAGATATAAGAGAGACACATTGACTAGTTGCGTCCTGTATGGCCCCAACCAGGGCCAGGGATGAACTGCAACCGAGGTACGTGCCCTTGACCGGAATTGAACTCACAACTGATAGGTCTGCAGGCCAAAACTCTAACCACTGAGAAAACTAGCCAGGGCAATTTTACTGTAATTTTTACCTACAAGAGATAAGAGAATATTTAATGGGATACTGCTATGTCCCAGACTCTGTGTACATATTGTAGGAGATGCACCAATTCTGTAAGTATCCTATTGCTTCAACACATAGGCAAAAACTGAAGCACTGAGAAGTTAAGTAAATGACCCTAGTCACACAACTAACAAGTGTACATCTGTAATACATACTGCTTCTGTCTAAATTCAAAGCTTGTGCTTTTTCATCTTTACCCTATGGCTTCTGAGAGGACAGAATAAACTTGGAGTTGGGGTGCTACTGAGATTTAAGGGTAGGGAAACAGTAGCAGATAGAGTGGTCAAACTGAGAGGGAGGTATTAAGGAAGCTAAGAACTAAGAGGATCAGGAGAGGGGAAGGTGGTCCACAGGATTAATGCCTGCAGGAAGGACACAAATGGGGAGAGCTCAGCAGCTGTCAGTGGGAAGTGCCCACAGCCCGAGCTGGTAACTACCACTACCTCCCCTGCGACTGTGGTTTCCAGCTTTTAGTGACACCTAACTGCACTATCACCTCTATGTTCCTCTGCCAAGTATATCTTTTATTAATAATAAAAGGGGAAAGTATGAACATACTTCTGGGTACAGTGTGGAAGAAGATTTTTTTTTTTTTTTTGCATAGGAGTAAAATTTAAAGTGGAAGAAAATGTTTTTGAACATAAATTTTAAAGAAGAGTCACTATGGTTCTTTTAATTAGTTTGAATAGTTTTATAGTTCAATTCAGGAAAAATTATCCTGAGAAAAACACATATGTAGTTTTGCATAGGAATGGTTTCCCACAAACATTGTGTGGAAAAATGATTTCATCCTTGCGAGTGTTATTATTGATAGGGCACAGCTTCATTTTTAAGCTCCTTGTGATGTTAAAGCCTCAAGCCTTTGCAAAGACCACCAAAAGACTATGTATTTATTGAATTACCATGTCAGCAATTACTCCAAACATTTCTAGGGGATGAATTCATATTACATTCATTATTCTTGCTTTGACAATGGTGTCAGTGGGTTTTCATTGCTCTGAAACACATTTAGATCAATGGAATAGGGTAATACATCTTTGCTAAAAATTATTTTTCCAATAACAAAGTAAGTTTAATTTTTTTAAACCAAAATACGATCAACTTATCCTACTAAAAGTAGCCTTCAGAAAAGGTGAAAAATGTAAACCTGCCCTGGCCGGGTTGGTTCAGCAGTTGGAGTGTTGGCCCGTGGAAACAAAGAGTTGCAGGTTCGATTCTGGTCAAGGCCACATACCTTGGTTGCAGTTTGATCCCGGCCCTGGTTGTGGTCATGCAGGAGGCAATCAATTGATGTGTTTCTCTTACATTGATGTTTTTCTCTCTCTCTCTCTCCCCCCTCCACTCCTCTCTCCCACTCCATCTGAAAATCAATGGAAAAATATCCTTGGGTGAGAATTACAAAAAAGAAAGAAAGAAAAAGAAAAATGTAAATCCAAAGGCCACAGTACACACAATAAACCAATTACAATGAAAGTAAGTATTAGATAAAAATTCAATAATTCAAGAAAGTGAATACTTGCCTTAGCCACTCATGGAAAAATAAAGTATTGACCTTCCCCTAATCTTTCCAAAGTAGACCGAACTATTGGTTGGCATAAATTTTTTGCAGGAATTATTATTATTATTATTATTTTATCCTCACCTGAGGATATTTTTCCATTTTTTGTACAGATAGAGTGGGAGGGAGAGAGAGTGAGAAACATCGACGTGAAGGGACACATCGAGTGGCTGCCACCCGCACGACCAACCAGGGCCGGGGACAAACTGCAACCGAAGTACGTGCCCTTAGCGGGAACCGAATCCGGGTCTCTCCAGACCGCCGGCCGATGCTCTAACCGCTGAGCCAAACTGGCCAGGGCTGTTTTTGTTTTTAAATGTTCAATCCATAACATTTAATACAACTGCAAATCTGTTATTGCAAACACTAGTTGGTAAAAAATTATCATCAAGCAAAAACACTCAAAATCTCATTTGATTTAGACTCTCTGGAACAACTATGAGGACATCAAACATGCTTATTTTTTGGATCCTGTGAGGTTGATATCTAAAAACTGGCCTTATTGATGATATAGCAAAGGATAAATTATGTTAAAATATCAAGCATCTGACCCCTCAAGCCAATCCTGTTTTCAACTGTGACAATTATTTCCTGTTTATACTCTTAACAAGTAAATATAGCTGAGAAATACATTTTAGAATATCAATTTTAAAAATCTTACATGTAAAAATACATTTATATTCTGTATCATGCAAAATTATTCTGCATTTTTATCACTATAAAATGATAGCAATTTATAAATTATTTTTAATCTTTGGTATTAACAAAACTTCAGTAGTATCAAAATCATGGACTAACCCTGAAATACTTCTTTTTTCTTAACTTTCTGCTTTTGACATGATCTTTTGACTGAATATGGTGTCCATTCATACTTATTCACTGGAGAGAAAAGGACAAATAACCCTATTAAAATTGGCATTTATCTTTAGTTTCTCTGATGTATGTCTTTCATCAGCAGCTTAATTCAGCTTGGCATGGAAAAAGGCAAAATTCATCTTGAAACCCAGTTCTCACCATTTCAGCAGACTATGAAGCATCATACATTCCAAAAAGTGGAGAGTATGGTCTAAAATAAAGCAAGTTCTCCAACTACCACCTCAACCAGATGGTGCCCAGAGGGGGCAATGTCTACCACCACCTGGCTGGCCGGTGTTCTGGGGACACAAGGTCATGACTTTATCCCCAATTTTAGCCTTTTGCAAGACTAATATATTTGTTGGGACTTGGGACCAACTCCCTGATCTCTTAAATGTCAGGCCATGGCCTCTTAAATGTCAGGATGGGAGCAAGGCTGATGGGATCCATTCTGATAAGAAACTTGCAGGTGAACCAATGTGCATCCTGCTTTACCTTTCAGAGAAAGAAAACCACTGATCCCTTGATAAATCAAATTAAACAGATTGAGTCACCACCCCCAGAAGCTCTGACTGCTTCAAGTGACATCATCATTTGCCACCTAATAGACTGGTATAAACATCCAATAGTGGGCAAATTACATTGTTCAATGGCATGTTGGACATACGCCATCTTACTATCAGTACACACTGTCACAATCATTATTGTAACATTTCATAGTACATAGTACATGGTTCATTTTATGGTTTTATAGAAGGAATTACTGTAACTATGCATAGAAGCCTAGCAATCTAGTGTAAGTAATGGTTAGCTATCATATGTAGAGTGCTTGTGGGAAGAATGCTTATCCAGGGTCTACATTTCCAGTTCCCTCTGTATCTGGGGGAGACTGTGAGATGTAAGAGAGCTAATATGTATCACTTCTTTGCCCAGATGTTTAAGAAGCAAGTATGTCTTTCCCACCCCACTATCTCTCCACTGCAAGCTGAATGCCAATGTTCAGTGTTACTGGAAATCGCATGGCATTGCCTCTGTCAGCATAGGTCCTTGACATAAATGATCTACATTAGGAATACTGGACTATTACATGAGTAGGAAAGGAATGCTAATCCAGTGAAGTTTCTACAATTTGGGGGTTTGTCACACTGGCTACCTCTACCCAATCTAGTTAGAGTCAGCATGTCATGAACATAAAAAAATCTTAAATTGAAACTATTCTTCACTGGTCTTTTTTTCTGTGTCTATAATCTAAGAAAGATTTCATTTTAAAATATCAGTGTATTCAGAGCAGTAGCACAAAAGTAATTAAAATATATTAAATAAGTCCTATTAAAGACAATTAAATGAACAG